TTTTTTTTTTTTTTTTTTTTTTTTTTTTTTTTTTGAAGAATACTAAATTTCATTCTAGATGTCAGATTCCTCTATTTATTTATTTATTTATTTATATAATTCGATAGTTTATTTGAATTATTATAATTATAAAGTGAGAGATCGAACCATCAACTTTTGAGATAATAATATGCATTTAAATATTTCTTTATCTTAAAGAGAACGATAGGTCAAAAACGAAATTTTATAACATAAGTTTGTAAAGTTCAGAGGTGTTTGTATCTATGCCCAAGTTAGTGCCTTTATCTACCGCATAAGAGTTGGATTAGGTATGATGCTGGTTTATACCTGTGTTTCAAAATGACGCATGATGACAAAGAGGAGCGGGAGAGTTGAAAGAGTTTTCGTGGCTATTTGTGATCGTCGATGTGAGATCTCACATCAATTGGAGAGGGGAACGAAACATTCTTTATAAGGGTGTGGAAACTTCTCGCTGCGCACACTCGTTTTAAAGACCTTGAGGGCAAGCCTAAAGAGGATAATATCTATTAACGGTAGGCTTTGACTGTTATAAATGGTATCAAAGCCAGACACCAGACGGTGTGCTAGCAAGGACGTTGAGCCTCAAAGGGGAGTGAACACTGGGCGATGTGTTAGCGAGGACGCTGGACCCCAAAAGGGGTGGATTGTGAGATCTAACATCAGTCAGTTGGAGAGGGGATCAAAATATTCTATAAGGGTGTGGAAGCCTCTCCCAAATAGACGCAAATAGACACATTTTTAAAGAAAAACCTAAAGAGCACAATACCGACTAACGATGGGTTTTGACTGTTACAGTCAAAGTACCGGGGTTCCACATCCAGTTATTGATACAGATGTCTCCCACGCCACTTCGGAATCAGGAGATGTTCTTAGACTTGTTTTTTTAACATCTTTAGCCCCAAAGTATAAACTGATTACTAGAAGATACCAAAGCAACGCAAGAAGAGTTCTGTAGGTTATAATTTTCCAGGAAAAAATGTTAAGTGTATATTACAGATACAAAATGTGTAGTAAAACCATAAAGTTGTATTGAACTACAAGAACTACAGGGAAGAATTCTAAGTACTACAGTTTCCTACTCGACATCAAATCGATGTCTTACAGTCAATGATTTACTCGAAAGGTTTACACATGATCATCTGATCATGTTATTACTGTCAGTTTGCTTCAGGCTTCCAACAATCCTTGCGAGGCTAAAAAAATGGCAGTTTTCCAAATCGTGAAACAATGAAATAAACAATTCATCATCCCTTGGGCTATATAGTTCAACTCGTCATCTGGGAATGGACAGGCATGCCCATTTGTGGCACCCCTTTCATGCAATGTACCCACATGTTCTGGGTACTTCCATTTCCAAAACAAGGTTGGTTCCTTAAATCAGCAGCAGAAGAAGAGTATATATTAGATTTGTGGCTGTGATCGTATCTGTAGTTCGGGTTGTTGGGGTTGCAACTGCAGTTGTGATTGAGGCTGGAGTTGCTGTTTGGGTTGGGGTTGGAGCTGGGGCTGGGCTTGCAATTGTGGTTCTGCCTGGGGCCGGGGCTGGGGCTGCGGTTGCAGTCGTGGTTCGTGCTGGGGCTGCAGCTGCAGTCGTGCTTCAGTTTGGGATTGGGGTGGCAGTTGCGGCTGTGGTTGGGATTGGGGTGGCAGTTGTGGTTGCATTTGCGGTTGGGGTTGGGGTCCAGCAGACAGCCGATTCCTACCCCGGCCTCTTCGAGCACCGACAATACGAGAAATCAACGAGTTACCAATATTAGCCAAGGCACTCGGTCCCATCAGCTTTAAGCCAAACTCTTTCACTAGATAAGGAAGTCTACTTTCATCCTCTTCGATCGCGAGTAGCAGCTCGCGTGCCTGTTCACGGGATACAATTGTGTAAAGCTGCAGCAGCTGTTGTTGTGAGGGATCTTCACAATCCTCTGCCAGTTCTTCAATGCTAGAACTTTCTCCCTTGTCCCTGAATGTGATTTTCATGATCCCCATTGATTTTTCGCCATCTAACGATGAACCGAAAATAAAGGACAGATTTCCAACTTCAATGTCGGGATTCCTGAAAAGATCCACCAGAATATCATGTCTCAGATTTCTTGGCATGTACTTCCTTGAATGGTTTGATCGTCCCCGAGTTGCATGGTAAATACATGAAGCTTCTCGTAGCCCGCTCAAGAAGGCACCATGCATGGTGGCTGGATATTGCTTAGTTGTGGCCTCACCGGCGAAAAATAATCTGTTCCACACTCTCTCTGCAAGAATATCATAATCGCTGCCAGTGGACCCAACTCGAATGTGAGAGTACGAGCCATAGGAAAATGGATCGTTGCCCCATCTCGTGCATATTGTCTGTATTGGATTCGGCACGTCAACCCCTTTCGAGCTAAATATGCCTTTACGTAGAGATGTAACAAGGTTAAACGAGAAGTGTTACTGAAATATTCATACGGTAATTCACAACCAAAACCGGAGAGACCATACCTCTGAGAATTCCAAGAACCCTGTGGAGCAACACAGTTGGATCTGTGCATTCAAACGCTTCAGCAGCTTCTCCAGCAACAAGAGCTATAAGAACTGCACCTCCAGAAACAGTATGATACCCATAAAACAAAAAGAACTCCCCCCGCTGATGGCAATGCTCTCTAAGACATCCAAATGTATCAAGGTCTTCCCCCCAGAAAACATGAGGAAACACCATTGCAACTTTATTCAATAATCCAAAACCCAGTCTCTCAATCGCCGCCACCTTCCTTTTAGGTAACTCCGGTTCAAATCTGATAAGCTTTCGCTTCAGAATCCCAAGCGGAACCGTGCACAGAACCATATCAGCTTGAAACACTTGATCGCCAGCTACTACTTCTACTCCGTCACTTCCATATTTAACGGTGTCAACAACCTGCCCGTAAAATATCGGAACTCCTTCACATAATGCTTTTATCAATCTCCAATTACCTCCTGCTAGAAAGCAATGGTCGCCGCCCATTTCATAAGGATCATCTTGATCCCAATGCACAGCAGACAAATTCGAAAGACATCCTGCATTTGCGTATTCCAAGTTCGCTAGATGCCAATCGAGAAGTTGTCGTTCATCCTTGCTCTGAGCAACAGCATACAATTGCCTGAGTTTTTCCAGAACGGTTCCAAGAGAAATGTTATTAGCCAATCCTCCCATAATCTTTCTCAGTTCAGTCACTTTGTCAAGCAATTTATTAAAAATATACTCAATCTTAGCATCAGTATCTTTTTCAATCAGTGTTCCATCAGGTTTATACAATGGACAATTATCTCTAACCTTATGAAGTGGAATGGAAAGTTGTCTAGCTAGAACTCCAAGAGGATTAGCATGGATACCAGTAATGACACTACCACCAAGATCCACAGCAGCAAATTTGCCCTCCAGACCCATCTTTTGTGTATAAACTCGTCCACCAGGTCGATTCCGACCTTCCAAAACAACAACCTTAAAACCAAACGATAATAACTGCCGAGCTGCAGCCAACCCGGCAAGACCTGCACCAATAACAATCACAGATCCTTCACATGCCTCCTCTGCCACTTGAGATGTAAAGGTTGGTGTCACCCCAAAGTTTATATATCCATTGTACAGAAGGAAATCATACGCCTTACTAATTAAATGTTCATACTCACTGCTCACACTCTCTTTAATCTGCCCTTTCGACAGCCACATTCGTACGTTACCCCGCCATCTCGCGATGATATGATTTCTAACAACAATGTAATCGTTCTGCTCTTTGCCACCCAATTTCGTGACCACCCTAGCTTTGATTTCCTCCTCATGAAGCGCATCAATTGGGAATCCAACCGATAATGCTATCATAGCCTCAACTTCAGTCTCCTTCTCCAGATCCTCTGCCGTTTTGCTCTTCTTCTTCGAAACACCCCCTAAATGCTGCTCTATAACCTCGTCCATTAAATCCTCGTCATAATTTCGCGAAGTAGCTTTCTTACGCAAGGAACGCTTCAAAACTAAACCAGGGGTGCTATCCATCATTCAACAATACGTTGCTAAAAAAATTCAATCCGTCTAAACATTTAACCTCCAGAATCGCACCAAGAAAAGAACCCTCGTTTCGATCACTACTCCTTACATATTTAGTCAAATTCTAATCAATCAGCACACAATTATCGAGAAACTCCATGAGAGACCTCAGAATTTGAAAAATAACATTACCGCCTTTCTCGAGTATTTAAGCATTCAACGCAACCCCCCAAGAAAACGTAAATCCCACTTCCGCTGGTAGAATTTCTCAAAATACTGCTCGTAATCGACGTGAAGCTTTGAGATGGACGAAAGAAAATCACAGCCCCAGACGTAAACAAAGAAATTAAAAAAGAACAGAAGCAAGAAAACGTATCTCAATAAAGCCAAGCCAATGTGGGAGTGGAAATTCGCCAAATTGCAGACCTAAATCAGAAATGGAATCGACGAACACAATTAGGGCAACTCGCCTGCATGGGTTTAAGGCCAAGGATTAGCGGAGAAGAAAGGAGAAATTAGGGTTTTGGGTAGAAACGAGTTGAAGCAAAAGGAAAAATTTTCGTATTTTGAAAATTGACCTTTTATATACTTTATTTTCTCTTTTCTTTTTTCTTTTCTATTTCTTCTCTAATAGTTTATTTGTTTATTTATTAAGCCAATTAAACTTTTAATTATTCCAAACTCTAAACTTTTTTAATTGTTTATATATATTTTAAAAAATCCTTTACAACTCAATTTTAATTATACATAAATTAAAAGTGTCGTTATAGTTCATTTCAACCTAAAGATATCGATGATGTCATTTACAACATCATTTACAAAACTGCTCGTTACATATCAAGTTCCAAGGCATAATACTCAAAATAGAGTATTTTAGATTTTGATGACGGGTCGTACATTCACGTCAACACGAAGGGGTATGCAGCCACGGACAACACGTCCTAAACAAACATGATCGGGACATCATGCGATCATAAACAACACACCTTGAGAACAAGCGTAACGATGACATAGTATTTGTTTGTTTTCCCCTACCAGAGTTTCAAAACAAAGTAGACCCAAAGATAATGCAATTTAGACATTTCGAGAAAACACAAGTGGAAATGGAATAGTTTGCGGAAAATAAATCATAATAACTAGAACCAAGTCATACTGAGCATTAGCTTTATCAAAAAAGTGTGCTTGCCGATTTCGAGACAAATAAACTGAGATACCCATCAGTTGGAGAGGGAACGAAACATTCCTTACAACGGTGTAGAAATCTCTCTCTAGCGCGTTTTAACAATCACGAGGGAAAACTCGAAAGAGAAAACCTAAAGAGAACAATATCTCTTAGCAGTGGACTTAGGTGTTACAAATGGTATCAGAGTCAGACATAGGTGATGTGTCAGTAAGGAGGTTGAGCCCCAAAAGGGGTGGACACGAGGCTAGGAAGGAAAGTAGATTGTGAGATCTCACATCGGTTGGAGGGGAGAACGAAACATTCTTTATAACAGTGTGAAAACCTCTCTCTAACAGACGCCGCACCAGCTAGCATTTCAGTCAAAAACTAGTGCTTTATTCACTATACCCTTTTTATCATCAAGAAAAACATTATACAACTAATACAATCCATTGTCCGAGTAAATGTAAAAAAAAAAAAAAAAAAAAAAACAACCTGCGGCAGCTAATGTCTAGCAGCCTGAATGTGAAAACAAAGAGTAGACTGTTTACTGTACCAATTAATCTTGAAATGATCCACGGATGGTTGTCACAATCTGAATGAATTGAGCCAATGGACTTTGATCTAAGACAAAGAACTCACATAACCATATACTTCTTCATCCATCCACTGTAAATATATTAGACCCACCAATGCCTTTGCAGGTCATCCAGGCTAAATCTTACTACCCGAACAACGTTGTTTCGTTTTCTCATCTCCCACAAGGATTTACGAGCTGCGAAAACACTGCACTTGTTGCAACATCTTCTGCGTCGTCGTCGGTGCCCGAGTTCCCTCCATCAATCATGCTTACACTATTATCAAATGGCTCAAGTGGAGTCAGTTGGATGGTAGGGATGTGGTTCGTGCTGTTGTCTTCGGGTTCCATTAGAGCAGACGATGTTTCCTCGAGCTGAAGAGCGTATTCCAGGTTCCACAGGACGTCGCCCATGGACGGCCTGTCGACACCATACTCGGCTAAACACTTCTCCGCTGTTTCACCGAACTTCTTAAGTGATGCTGGATTAACTTTCCCTACCAGATTTTGGTCCATGATGTTATCTAGCATGCCTTTCTTCTGCCAAATCATTGCCCATTCTGCTATATTGACTTGTTCTCTAGGCAGAACAGGGTTTAGAGCTGGCCTTGTACAGAGAACTTCCATTAGCACGACCCCGAATGAATATACGTCGGACTTCTCGGTCAGCTGCTGTCGTCTGAAGTATTCGGGGTCGAGGTAACCAAAACTACCCTTAACAGCAGTACTAACATGAGTCTGATCCAGAGATGGTCCGGTTTTTGAGAGACCAAAATCTGCAACTTTGGCGACGAAATTCTCGTCCAAGAGAATGTTCGTGGTTTTGACATCTCGGTGTATAATGCTTTGTGCTGCACCAGTGTGAAGATAATGAAGCCCTCTCGCAGCACCGATGCAAATATCAAGTCGTTGCTTCCACGACAACGGTGGTAGATCGGTTCCATACAAGTGACTCCTGAGCGGTCCATTTGCCATGTATTCGTAGACAAGAACCATTTCTGATCGTTCGTCGCAGTAGCCAATAAGAGACACTAGGTGACGATGTCTGAGCTTTGATAACATTTCGATTTCGGTTCGAAATTCAGCAAGACCTTGTTCTGATCTGGGGTTACCTCTTTTAACAGCAACCTTTACACCATCTTCAAGTGTTCCCTTGTAAACTCTACCAAAACCGCCAACTCCAAGGAGTAGATTTTCGTCGAATTTGTTCGTAGCATCGAGAATTTCCTGAAACGAGAAGAATCTGCCAAGACTGGAGGAAGTCAATGAAAGGAAGCTTGCAGTTCCACTCTTTTGAGAAGTGGTTGACACTTTTGTCATGGTTTGAGAGTTCCCATATAAGGGCAAAGGAAGCCATGGATGTGCTGGTTGAGTAGGCTTCGACTTGCGACGTACGAAACAGCAGTAACACAAGACGAGCAAAGCAATGGCTACTACAGCTCCCGAGACAGAACCAACAATTATTGCTATATTGTTCTTCTTCGAGGGTGCATTCGGCAAAAGGCTTTCAACGGACAAAGTTCCATCCAAGCTCCCGGCTCGATTGTTTATTTTCATGATCTCCAAGCCATTCATGGTTGCATTGGTGATGTCTGCCATCGTATCTGGACCGACACTAACAGTCAAAGTAGCCGAATCTGCTGAGTTTGAAATAAAGTCTTTGTAATAAGGCACGCCCAAGTCACCCGTTAACGACGATAGATCAAAGCTTCCCAGAGCATTATCAGAATTGATGTATAGATTGAAAACCAGACTATTAAGAGCCTTGCTCATGATATCACAAAAGTGTACTCGAACAAAGTATTGAAAATTTGGCTCAACAGAGAAAACCCAAGTCAAGTTAAAGTTCACATTCGGTACATTCGGGTCTCCCATGGCATCGGCAGTAGCATAAACCAAGTTCGGTGCAGTTTCTGGTGTAACACCGGCATGATATTTTATACTCCCCGGGTTGGCCGAGACATTCACTGCAGAACTATTGACATGGAGGTATTTCATATCATTCTCCCAAGTCCTTCCAAGTGTATCATTTTGCGAAGTGAGTAAAGGACCTCCCATATTTAGTCGATAAACAGTTTCGAAAGCAAGTTCAGAGATGCCGCTAAACGGAGAAGATGGATTCAAAGCCAATGCTTGGTCAGGTATCAGCTCATCAGGCATCGAAACAACCTCGATCGCATTAACAAACGATACCGAACCATTAAACGGGATGAAAGTAAGCGTCAAGGAATCCGAAGTGACATTGATTGCATACTCCTTGAACATAAAAGAACCATTATAGTTCTTGAAAGTGAAGTTATTCAACAACACAAACTTCTCAGTAACAACAGTAATCGACGCAGACGCCAGATTCCGCTCCGACTTCGGAATAGGATAAAAGTACAACCGAACCCAATGCCGACCTTCTTTCTTGATATCGAATTTATACGAAGCAATGCCGGTGAAAACCCGAGCAGATTGATAGATTGGAGATGCCTCACTTGTGCCTTTAGAACTAACAACAACAGAGCTTCCACCATCAATGGCGAACAACGAATGTCCAGAATCAGGAACATAAGTTCTTCCTTGGAACGTGATGTTTTGTGTAGAACCACATGATATCAAATAATTATCAATGGGAGTGAAAGCGGCGCAAGATCCAATACACATGAACAATACGCCAGACAGAACCAGAAACATTGAAACAAGCTTCATTTTCACCATTTTCAATACCCACAGATCCTAAATTCACTAAAACCCCAACAGCGTCACTTCAAGAACAAATCTAACAAAACCCTCCAAAACCCACCTCCATATGGATCTATCTAACAATACCCATTTCACAAATTTCACAGATAAGAACATGAAACTCCATAGTAGACCAGAATCAGGTTTAGAGCACTCAAAGAACAAAGAGACAAACAAGAAATGAGAGTGTTACCTGATGAAGAACAGATAATCCTGAAAAGGGTATTGTGGAAGTGAAGAATCAGAGAGAAAAGAGGCCGGAGAAGGGAAGGAGAAGAAGAAGAGATCCCACTAATCCCGGCATGAAAGGGCTCTGGAGCAGAGTTTTTTTAGTGCAGCCACCACACAAAACTTTCCAGCCTGTTATCGAGGCTGTCATCAATATACAAAAACTAGAGACCCCACAAAATAAGAAAGGGGGGATGAAATGGAAGCCTTCATCAAACTCTTACTCACGCCATGAACAAACACTGCCTCTACCTCACCTCTCTACTACAGAAACTGCGCTTTTTCACGCCATTTCCCTTCAAAATCTCCACCAATTCAATTCATTTCTGTTTTCTTTTCTGTTTTCCCCTTATTTTCTAAAATGGGTTATTGATAAAACTCCTTAATCTGCACTTAAACGAAGAAGAAACCATGATTTAACCGAATTTGGGGTGTTTTTGTTGGAAATTACCAAACCCTACTCAACAAAAGGCTCGTACTAATAAACATATATTTCTTGTTTATAAATTCATGATCATTTTCGACTCCCTCACAACAATTTTCCCCTCGAATAAAGTATATCATAAAGTATACTATATAGCCTCTCTCGAAGCCCATGAAGTCCTCGAAAAGTAATAATCTCTTCTTAATCGAGTCTTGACCTCTTCTCTGAACCCTTTGCTATGATATGATATTCTCCATTTTCAACCGTATTTCCTTCCAATAAACTTTATCCTCATATAAAAGTTATTATATATTATATCATACATTATTATGGAAATGAAATATATAATTCAAAAATTTTAATTTTTTTTATATATTAGTTTTTAAGGATTGAAAGGGTATGGTTGCTGTGCAGGGACAA